ATACAATAGCGATGAATAAAGCGATGCGAGATGCTGAACGTACAGTGGAAAGGATAAGTGATGGTGTAGAAAGGGAGAAGAAGGATTCTGATAATGCTTTAGAGAAGATGGATAGTAGTCTAGAAGAATCCGTAGGTGGAGAAATACAATCTATTGAATCATCATCAAGTAATGAGAAGGCTTTATTATCAAGAAGAGCTGAGATGATTAATACTAACTTGGCTCAAATAACAGTACAGAATCAACAATCGGCCGCTAGGACTGCTGATAGTTATTCACAATTAACTGGTACATTAGCAGTTAATAATGATAGAGAGATGGAGCATCAACAAGGAGTTATACATTCTGCTGAAGAAACGATAGAGGGTGCCGAGAATGATGTTGATAATGATATTAAAGTTAAAGTGGGTGATAAGGAGAAGTTACTGGTTAAATCACAATCAGCGATGAAGAGTATGTTGAGTGGATCGGAAATGGACTTTGAAAATGCTATGACAAAGAGTCATCAAAGTGTAGAAGCTATGAAGAATACATTAGAAGGGCGAGTGAATTCCGATAAGAAGATTACTGATGATGATGTTGTGAGTATGGAAGAAGAATCCAAAGGACAATTGGATAGATTAATAGAAGCCGAAGATTCAGTACATGCCTCCATGGAAGGTTTACCTGATATCCAATCTGTAGTAGGCAATAGCTATGAAGGTGCTAATGATGTATTAAAGGAGATGAAAGGATTAAAGAAAGATATTACAAGTCTAATGAATCCACGTAAAGCCTCAGAAGATAATATGAAGCATGCAGTTAGGGGTCTTCAATCATCAGGCAGTGGTGAATTGAATACTATTCAAGGTATTGATAGTATTAATATCAATAAAGCACAAGGAGAATTACATGAAGTGGTGACGAATTCTGAGGAAGAGATTGATAAAAATATGAAGAAGCAATTATCTGACCTCACCTCTGCTCATGGCTCATCCATGAATAGGATTAAAGATATTCTTAGAGGATCAGAAGTTGATGAAGATAATCAAATAGCAATGACAGGGAGGATGCGTGATAATATAGCTGATGTGGAAGGAGATGAGAAAACTGCTAAGAACAATTTCGGTAAGAAAATGTCACAGAGCATTGCTCAAGAGCGTTCTAAGAGTAAGAGACAGTATGAAGATCAGCTTATGAAATTAAAAGGAGAAGAAAAAGAAGCCAAGGATTTGTTATTCAAGTCGGTTCGTACTGCTACTAATAATCTATTATCTGGTGGTAAAGCTAATCAATTGGAGATATTACATTCTATTGATGGTCTACTACGGGGATTAGATAGAGTTCATAGTGAGGATATTAAAGAGGATACTGCTATTGGTGATGCTGTATCAAAGTATGACAATATTCTACCTCAGAATGAAAGGGAAATAAAGGGTATAGATGGTGAATTAGAGAATGAGAAGATGAGACTTAAGAACGAGTTTGATGCATCAGAAATATCTTTAACTAAATCATCTTTAGAGAGATCAAGGAAAGCTAATAATACCATTAAAGATTTGGAAAAGGCAATTAAAGGATTGGATGTTGAGGTGGCCCGATCAAAAGATGTTATGATAACATCAGCACGAGAAGGATCTACTTATATTGATAAATTCATTGGTAAATTGCGTGATATCATGATGGCTGATGCTGAACTTGATAAAAATGATTATAGACAAGGCTTATATGATATGAACAATAAGTATGGTTCCCTTTCTAAATTCACAGATAAGAGAGCTAAGGCAATAGCTGATAATATGGAGAAGTTTGGTAAATCATCATCCAATCGTCAGGAGACTCTAGCAAATACATTAGCTAGAGTTGTTACTGATGCTGAACGTTTGGGATTATCAGAAGAGGAGATGCAAGAATATGTTAAGAAGAGACTTGCAGAGGAAGCTAATGTGACAGAAGAACAATTTGAACAAATTCATGATATGCTCGAAGGCGATTTGACGGGATTCCGTGATAAAATAATAGAAATGAAGCGGAAGGCTGATGATGAACTATTTGCCGAGAATAATCGTATTAATAGAGATGATAGCTTACAAATGGGTAGATTGGCTGATCATGCTCAAATGGTTGAAGCACAAGCATTAAAAGCTGGAAATATTATAGGATATAATTCTGCTGCTGGTGGACGAAGTTATAGAATACTTAATGGACAAGAAGCAATAAGTGGCAATAAGCTCAGGGCTATGATGCATGTTGCTCAGTAATAATAATAATCATTTTAATGATGATGATGATGATGATCTTCTTTAGAGCCAATAGTGGATCATTAATTGACGATATTGCTGCTGCTAAAGGAGTATCTACTACAAGGATAGCAAACGTAATGGATGCAGTATCATCATATATGATACTCATCAAGAGCTTTATGGATGAGGTACTATCATATAGTCCTTATTATAAGCATAATCATCAGTGATATTAGTAGTAGTAGTATTGATTATGTTGTTGTTGGTGTTATTGGTAGATGAAAGC